AGCTGAATGTTAGGCGTTTACAACAGGCCAGCATCTGAGAGCTCATCCTTAGTGTGGTTGTGTGGTGGTGTGGTAGTGTGGTGATGTGGTGTGATAGTATGGTGGTGTGGTGTGGTAGTGTGGTGATGTAGTATGGTGGTGTGGTAGTGTGGTGGTGTGGTAGTGTAGTATGGTGGTGTGGTAGTGTGGTTTGGTTGTGTGGTGTGGTAGTATAGTGATGTGGTGTGGTAGTGTGCCTCCATCCTCCTCCTCACCCTCCCTCTTACCCACCTTCACCCTCCCTCCCTCCCTCCCTCCCCTCCATCCTCCCTCCTCACCCTCCTCCCTCACCCTCCCTCCCTCATCCCTCCTCCTCACCCTCCGTCCTCACCCCTCCCTCCTCCTCCCTCCTCCTCCATCCCTCCCTCCTCCACCCCTCCCTCTTACCTTACCTTCACCCTCCCTCCCTCCCTCCCTCCCTCCCCCTCCCTCCCTCCCTCCCTTCCACCTCCCCTCCTCTCCCTCATCCCCTCCCTCCCCTCCCTCCCCTCCCTCCCTCCCTCCCCTCCCTCACCCCTCCCCTCCCCTCCCTCCTCCCCTCCTCCCCTCCCTCCCCTCTCCCCACCTCCCTCCCTCCTCCCTCCCTCCCTCCCTCCCTCCCATCCCCTCCTCCCTCCCTCCCTCCCTCCCTCCCCTCCCTCCTCCCTCCCTCCCCTCCCTCCCTCTCCCCTCCCTCCCCTCCCTCCCTCTCCCTCCCCTCCCCTCCCCTCCCTCCCTCCCTCCATCCCTCCTCCTCACCCTCCATCCTCCCTCCCTCCTCCCCTCCATCCCTCCCTCCCCACCCTCCATCCCTCCCTCCCTCCTCCCTCCCTCCCTCAAATAACGCCCCAAACAATTTATTATTCATTTTATTCATTAAAAATTCTGTTAATAAAATGTATTATAGAATATACACCAAGCGTCAAGAGCTCAATACCTGACTGGGAATATTTTCCTAGTGACGCTGTCTCATGGTATAACATAACATAACATAACATAGCATAACATAACATAACATAACATAACATAGCATAATATAACATAATATAGCATAACATAACATAACATAACATAACATAACATAGCATAACATAACGTAACATAACATAACATAACATAGCATAACATAACATAACATAACATAACATAACATAACATAACATAACATAACCTAACATAACCTAACATAACCTAACATAACCTAACATAACCTAACATAACCCAAACAAAGCTAACCAATTATTCTTCATTTCTCCAGCAAAGGATCGCCTAATCAGGGTTAACATCGGCTAACGTGACCCAGATTGACCCAGAGTGCTACAACTACAACAAGAGGGGAGGCGGTGAATACAACACTTATGACTCGGGTGATGAAAGCCTCCTTGATAATGGCGTCTTAAACATCACCATTATTGTTGGCGACTCGTTCAATTGTGACAAGCCTAGAAGGGAGGTAAGTGAGAGAGAGAGAGAGAGAGAGAGAGAGACAGAGAGAGAGAGAGAGAGAGAGAAGAGAGAGAGAGAGGGAGAGAGAGAGAGAGAGAGAGAGAGAGAGAGGTGGAGGAGTGGTGAGGTGGTGAGAGAGAGAGAGAGAGAGAGGTAGTGAGAAAGATAAGGGTAGTAAGATGATGAGGTACTGAGAAGAGAGAGAGGGAGACAGTAGAGGTAGTGAGAGAGAGAGAGAGAGATAGTAAGACAGGGGTGAAAAGAAACTGTGTGTGTGTGTGTGTGTGTGTGTGTGTGTTTGTTAGATTGGACTTTCATTCTCACCTGTAACCTCCCCCTCCTCTCCTTCCCTCCTCCTCCTTCTCCCCTCCGTAAGTCCTACCCCTCTCTACCCCCCCCATTTCCCCACCCTTATAAGAGGGGGAAGAAATGTGGGGGAGGAGGGATAGTGACGTCAGTGGAGGTAGTGTCTTCTTACCTGACAGTACAAGGCACAAGGGGGTGGAGGAGGTGGTGGGGTTGAGGGAGAAGGAGGGTGAGGTGGGGTTGAGGAAAAGAGGTGAGGGGGTGGTGGGGGTTGAGGAAAGAGGAGGGGTGGTTGAGGGGAGGTGAGTGGGGGTTGAGGAGAGGGTGAAGAGAGGTGAGGGAGGGTTGAGGAAAGGGGGGAGGGTTGAGGGAGAAGGAGGGTGAGGTGGGGGTTGAGAGAAAGAGGATAGGGGCGGTGAAGTAGAAATAAATGAGGGAGAGAAAGGAAAATAGAAAGAGAAGAGGAATAGAGAGAGAGAGAGAGTCGATCAATACAACCAGGAAATATACTACACTTCCCTCCTCATATGCTTTCTTCCTTCCTCCTTAATACGTTCTTCCCTCCCTCCCTTAATACTTTCTTCCCATTCCTCCTGCCCTTTTCTTCTCCTCCCTCCTTAATGTTTTCTTCCCTTTCCTCCCTTAATACTTTCTTCCTATCCCTCCCTTAACACTTTCTTCCTATCCCTCCCTTAACACTTTCTTCCTATCCTCCTTAACACTTTCTTCCCATCCTTCCCTTAATACTTTCTTCCCATCCCTCCTTTTTCTTCCTCCCCTTAACACTTTCCTCCCCCCCCCTCAACTTTTCTTCCCTCTCTCCCTTAATACTTTCTTCCCATCCCTCCCTTTACTTTCTTCCCTCCTCCCTTGACAGTTTCTTCCCTCCTTCCTCCTCCCTTGACTCTTTCTTCCCTCCCTCCTTAACAGTTTCTTCCCTCCTCCCTTAACAGTTTCTTCCCTCCCCTCCCTTCCTCCTCCCTTACTCTTCCCTCCCTCCCTTCGTTTCTTCCCCTCCTCCCTTCCTCCTTCAACTCTTTCTTCCCCTCCCTCCTTGACAGTTTCTTCCCCTCCTTCCCTCCTCCTTGACTCTTTCTTCCCTCCCTCCTTAACAGTTTCTTCCCTCCTCCCTCCCTCCTCCTTAACCTTTCCCCTCCCTCTTTAGTTTATTCCCTTTCTTGTGATTAATTCCCTCTTGTTCCCATTATTCTTGTTATTTTTATGTTGTGTAATTATTTGAACTATAATAATATTAATAATAATAAAATAATAATAATAATAATACAAATAAAATAATAATAACAATAATAACAAAAGAAGAACAAGACATAACATTCAAACATAACTTACAAACTTAACATATAGACGTAACATAGAGACATCCTTCCCCTACCACGTACAGAAGGTAACTGAGATGGTGTCGTAACGTAACTAACTCTTTCTCCTCCCCTATAGGGACCGACGCCTCTTACACTTGGCAACACTGCACAACCCTTGGCTTTGGCTTTGGGTGTACATGTGGCAACACTGGATCTCTATAGGTTAGTTGCCAAAAGTGACGGTAGGGGGGTAAAGGGGGTCTTCTAATGGGGATAAAGGGGTCTTCTAAGAGGTAAAGATCTTATAAGGGGTAAAGGATCTTCTAAGGGTAAGGGTCTTCTAAGGGGTAAGGTCCTCTAAGGGGTAAGGTGGTCTTCTAAGGGTAAGGGTGGTCTTCTAAGGGTAAAGGGGGTGTTTCTAAGGGTTTTAAATAGGTGTTGCCAAGGAAGGTAACATGGTGGACAGACAAGGAACAGACAGACAGATAAAGGAACAGAGACGGCAGACAGATAGACAGGAACAAAGACAAAGAACAAAGACACGGACAAAGGAACAGACAGACAGACAAAGGAACAGACAGACAGCAGACACACAGACAGGAATAGACAGACAAACACACGATCAGTAAGTTCTGTTCTTCACCCTTCTCTCCTCATCCCTCTGTCTCACCGTCAACCATCCCTCCCTCACCCAACCTCTCACCACCTCTCCCCTACCTCTCTCCCCACCCCTCTCCCACCCCAACCCCTCTCTCCCCCCCATCCTTCTCCCCTCCTTTCTCTCCCCCATCCTTCACCCCCTCCTTTCTCTCACCCCCATTCTCTCCCCCCTCCTTTCTCTCACCCCCATCCTTCTTCCCCCTCCTTTCTCTCACCCCATCCAACTTCCCCCTCCTTTCTCTCACCCCCATCAACTAACCCCTCCTTTCTCTCACCCCCATCACTTCACCCCTCCTTTCTCTCACCCCCATCAACTAACCCCCTCCTTTCTCTCACCCCCATCAACTAACCCCCTCCTTTCTCTCACCCCCATCCTTCTTCCCCCTCCTTTCTCTCACCCCCATCAACTAACCCCCTCTTTCTCTCACCCCATCCTTCTTCCCCCTCCTTCTCTCACCCCCATCAACTAACCCCCTCCTTTCTCACCCCCATCAACTAACCCCCTCCTTTCTCTCACCCCCTCTTCTTCCCCTCCTTTTCTCTCACCCCATCAACTTCTTCCCCTCCTTTCTCTCACCCCATCCTCTTCCCCCTCCTTTCTCTCCCCCCATCCTCTAACCCCTCCTTTCTCTCACCCCATCCTTCTTCCCTCCTTTCTCTCACCCCCATCAACTAACCCCTCCTTTCTCTCACCCCATCCTTCACTTCCCCTCCTTTCTCTCACCCCCATCCTTCTTCCTCCTTTCTCTCCCCCCATCAACTAACCCCCCTCCTTTCTCTCACCCCATCAACTTCTTCCCCCTCCTTTCTCTCACCCCATCAACTTCTTCCCCTCCTTTCTCTCACCTCATCCTTCTCCCCTCCTTTCTCTCACCCCCATCAACTAACCCCCTCCTTTCTCTCACCCCATCAACTTCTTCCCCTCCTTTCTCTCACCTCATCAACTTCTCCCCCTCCTTTCTCTCACCCCCATCAACTTCCCCCCCCTCCTTTCTCTCACCCCCATCCTTCTTCCCCCTCCTTTCTCTCACCTCATCAACTAACCCCCTCCTTTCTCTCACCCCCATCCTTCTTCCCCCCTCCTTTCTCTCACCCCCATCACTTCAACCCCCTCCTTTCTCTCACCCCATCAACTACCCCCCTCCTTTCTCTCCCCCATCCTTCTTCCCCCCTCCTTTCTCTCACCCCCATCTTCTTCCCCCTCCTTTTCTCACCCCCATCAACTACCCCCCCTCCTTTCTCACCCAAGCGTGTTTCCTACCTGACGAAGATACAGCTCCGCCAATGGGAAACAGAGATGTGACCCCGCTACTAGAAATGCCTTCATTTATTGATTTCTGTCCGGGCATGGTGGCATTCTACTCTATAACTATGCCAGGTGAGTCATTGATGCCAGGTGAGTGTCTTATTGATGCCAGGTGAGTCATAGATGCCAGGTGAGTGTCTTATTGATGCCAGGTGAGTCTTATTACCACAGTCACCTGTTGTATGACTCACCTGTTGTACGACTCACCCGTTGTACGACTCACCTGTTGTATGACTCACCTGTTGTATGACTCACCTGTTGTACGACTCACCCGTTGTACGACTCACCTGTTGTACGACTCACCTGTTGTATGACTCACCTGTTGTACGACTCACCCGTTGTACGACTCACCTGTTGTATGACTCACCTGTTGTATGACTCACCTGTTGTACGACTCACCTGTTGTATGACTTACCTGTTGTATGACTCACCTGTTGTATGACTCCACCTGTTGCATGACCTACCTGTTGTATGACTAACCTGTTGTATGACTCACCTGTTGTATGACCTACCTGTTGTAAGACCTCACCTTGTTGTATGACGCACCTTAAGGTATGACTCACCTGTTGTATGACTCACCTGTTGTATGACCTCTACCTGTTGTATGACTCCACCTGTTGTATGACTCCAATTTGTTGTATGACTCCACCTGTTGTATGACTCCACCTGTTGTAATGACCTCACCTGTTGTAAGGATTCAACCTGTTAGGCGACTCCACCTGGTTGTAAGACTCACTTGTTGTATGACCTCACCTGGTTGTATGTGACTAACCTGTTGTATGACTCACCTGTTGTATGGACTCCACCGTTGTATGACCCACTGTTGTATGACCAACCTTGTTGTATGACTCACCTGTTGCATGACCACTGTTGCATGTCTCACCTGGTTGTATGACTCACTCCGTTGTATGACTCACTGTTGTACGACCTCACCTGTTGTATGACTAACCTGTTGTATGACTCACCTGCTGTATGACCCACCTGTTGCAAGACCTTCACTCATGTTGGTACGACTCACCTGTTGTATGACTCCACTCATGCTGTACGACTCACCTGTTGGGTACGACCCACCTGTTGTGTATGACTCAATTTGCTGTATGACTCACCTGTTGTATGTCTCACCTATGTTGTAGGCACCCCACCTGGTTGTATGTGACTCACCTACAGGACAGACTCACCTGCTGTATGATTCCCACTCATAAAGGACTCCACTCTGTTGTGCGACTCACCTGTTGTATGACTCACCTGTTGTATGACTCACCTGTTGTATGACGCACCTGTTGTATGACTCACCTGTTGTATGACTCACCTGTTGTATGACTCACCTGTTGTATGACTCACCTGTTGTATGACTCACCTGTTGTGCGACTCACCTGTTGTATGACTCACCTGTTGTATGACTCACCTGTTGTATGACTAGCAATTAATTATGACTAACATTTTATCTAACACTTACTTAATCTTTCAGGTGTAGAAAACGGGAGGCAGGAGTTACAGACTGATAGTGACAGACTGATAGTGAGGCCAACTGCCCCCTTAGACCGTGAGCTGAGAGGGGACTCGCTACCCTTCACTATCAAATGTACTTTACGGGTAAGATTACTCACTATCACTATTCTAGGGGTCACTATCACTAATTAATATTACTCACTATCATTGTACTGAGTCATTATCACTATTCTAGGGGTCACTATCACTAATTAATATTACTCACTATCATTGTACTGGGTCACTATCACTAATTAAGATGATTCACTATCATTATAGAAGATGAGCCACATTGAACTCAGTCACTATCACCATACAAGCGTCATCTTCACCATCAAACAATCTTTTGTTGACATTTTTGGCGGGAAATAACCAAAACAACTCATTCAGGTGACAGTTTGGGCGGGAAATACACCTGGGAAGAAGTCTAAACAAAGGGTGTTGATGTAGTAGCCATCAGCAAGTTGGAGAGCATTGATTGGTGAAACACATCTGACGTTTATTTAGTGGCCTGACGATGTTTCTCAGTGAGAGACTAAGAGATAGAGACCAGAGGATTGGGTTTATTCTGAGAAATATTGGATCAAATTGGTTAATGGTAATGATACGGGTTTCATAGTCCTGTCACCACTACCATCATCACTATTCACTATCATCATCACTAGCATCACTATGACTCACCACCATCATCACTATAACTCACCACCACTCACCAACCCACAGGCAGGGAAGCGACGACTGTTAGCACCACAGATAAAGGAAGCTATGCTGACTGTTATAGACGAAGATGACTCAGCCCCCATCAGGAGTAGGAACCCCATCGTCGACTGGCACTACAATAACAAGTCCGATGATGTGAGTAGGAGGGCGAGGTGAGGGTAGGAGGGAGAGGTGAGGGTAGGGGGGAGAGGTGAGGGTAGGAGGGAGAGGTGAGGGTAGGAGGGAGAGGTGAGGGTAGGAGGAAGAGGTGAAGGTAGGAGGGAGAGGTGGAGGGTAGGGAGGAGGTGAGGGTAGGGAGGGAGGTGAGGGTAGGGGGAGAGGTGAGGGTAGGAGGGAGAGGTGAGGGTAGGAGGGCGAGGTGAGGGTAGGAGGGAGAGGTGAGGGTAGGAGGGAGAGGTGAGGGTAGGAGGGAGAGGTGAGGGTAGGAGGGAGAATCTTTACCATTTCCTGCATTAACTGTACCACCACTTAATCACTAACCCCTAACGACCCTTACAGCTGGATGACCAATTGTTGGTACTAGATCCTGACCTAACAGACACCAATAACTACATGGTGGAGCTAATTGGCAACATATACAACCTCGTAACCATTGAGAGTGTGACCGAATTTGGCATCAGAAGCGAGTTATGTATGAAAGAAGCCGAGAATGTGACCGCTTACAACTTTAATGCTTTCTGTACACTGATTGCACCAGGTACGTGGCGGTAATGGTCAAGGTGATAATGTAATATTAATAGCAACAATAGCAATAATAATAACAATGATAATAGTAATAATAATAACAATGATAATAATAACAATAATAATAATAACAATAACAATAATAACAATAACAATAATAACAATAACAATAATAATAATAACAATAACAATAATAATAATAACAATAACAATAACAATAATAATAATAACAATAACAATAATAATAATAACAATAACAATAATAACAATAATAATAACAACAATAACATTACCTAGACAAACCAATAACACCTGCCAAGTAATTATAGTTTAATGACCCTTAAGAAGAATATTAATGGTGACGTCATAATTGCATGTTGTCTTGTTAACATAATTTCATACAGTAATTAACACCGAACTTTAGTTGAGGAAGGAGACGAACAGATAGATAGATAAAGAGATAGATAGATAGATAGATAGATAGATAGATAAAGAGATAGATAGATAAAGAGATAGATGGGTAGATAGATAAAGACATAGATGGATAGATAGATAGATAGATAGATAGATAGATAGATAGACAAAGAGATGATGGATAGATAGATAAAGAGATAGATGGATAGATAAAGAGATAGAGAGCTAGATACAGAGAGATAAATATATACAAAGATAGAGAAATTAGAGATAGAGACAGATAGAGAGAGAGAGATAGAGACATAGATAGAGAGAGAGAGATAGAGACAGATAGAGAGCTAGATAGAGAGAGAGAGATAGAGACAGAGAGAGAGAGATAGACAGAGAGATATAGAGAGAGATATAGAGAGAGATAGAGACATAGATAGAGAGAGAGAGATAGAGAAAGATAGAGAGAGAGAGATAGAGACATAGATAGAGAGAGATAGAGATAGAAATAATGACGTTTATCTCCCGCAGTGGTCAAGTTTAAAGAGACGGGATTACACGCCAAACTTCCGCCCAAGATCCACTTCTCTGTTGTGTTCATTGACAGGAACCTGCTGCCCTCTATCGCCCAGGAGAAGAAACAGGTGGGTCTCTCTCTCTCCACGGAACTCATAAGTTAACGCTCATTTTCTATAACATTCTAATGCTCCAGTTCCCTCTACACCAAACTAATGCTTCAGTTCCCTCTATACCAAACTAATGCTCCAGTTCCCTCTATACCAAATTAATGCTCCAGTTCCCTCTACACCAAACTAATGCTCCAGTTCCCTCTATACCAAACTAATGCTCCATTTACCTCTTTACCGAACTAATGCTCCAGTTCCCTCTACACCAAACTAATGCTTCAGTTCCCTCTATACCAAATCAATGCTCCAGTTCCCTCTATACCCTAATCAATGCTCCAGTTCCCTCCATACCTAACTAATGCTCCACTTCTCATGTTCTCTACCCAGGTGAAGTACAGCGTGACCTTGACCTTACCTAACTATGAAGAAGAGGTCAAACCGACTCCCTTACACGCCCTTACACACAACACAGACAATGGGGTACTGTCACCTGAAACGATAGCTCTTCTGAAGGAGTTACCGCCCTCCGAACTCAATATTACCATTATTCCGTAAGTCTACCCCTATTATGCATCCGTTTTCTGTGGTTTCTCCGATTTGGCGTTTTTTCCGTTTTCTGTAATTTTTGTTTTATTTTTGTTTTTCCGTTTTCTTTAATTTTTGCGTTTTATTTGTTCCGTTTTCTTAATTTTTTGTATTTTTATGGTTATTTTCTCCGTTTTTTTTGTTAGATATTTATGTTTTATGTTTGTTTTCTATGTTTTCTTTTTATTTATTTTTAATTTTCTTTAATTTATCCATTTTCTTTTTAATGGTAAATGTAAATGACCTAATATTTAATTTATGGATAATTTTGTATTTATACGAATATCTATCTATCTAGTTATCTTTCCATCTATCTATCTAGTTAACTTTCCATCTATCTATCTAGTTATCTTTCCATCTATCTATCTAGTTATCTTTCCATCTATCTATCTAGTTATTTATCTGTCTATATCGGTTTATTAATTCATTAATTTACCTGTCCATATTTTTAATGTTGTTACCTCTCTCACCACACCTAATCACCCCACAGGCCAGTTAACCAGTACTACCGTTTGGGTCAACTCATCTACCCTAACGTGACCCAACTTCACTTTAATTCCTACCTACCTGCCAACGCCGCCTTCATCTTGACCTCTGATAGCGTTAACGTGAGCATAAAGGTCACGCCCATCACGGGGATATTGTACGTGAGTGACCCCGACGGTTTGAGGTCAGGAGAGTTCACGATTGTTAGGGGTGATTCGGTGACCCTTGTTACTCTGACAGTGGTGGAACAAGTGAATTTTCCCTGTTCGTCTCAGGTGAGTTTGTGTTTGTTTTGGAGTGTTTGTGTGTGTTTGTTTGAGTGTTTAGGTGTGTGTATGTGTGTAAGTTCCTGTGTGATTGATTTGTTGTTTGTAATATATTGCAAATACCACAACTAACCCCTTACCACCCCCTCTCACCACCACCCCCTCTCACCACCACCCCCTCTCACCACCACCCCTACTAACCCCCTCTCCTTCCAACAGAACCCTGAAGAAGTAACGCCTTGGTGTGCCTCGATCCGGTATAGTTCAGAGTGCCAAGAAACCTGTGGCTTAGGGGCGGCTGGCACCTGTTCCTGGCGCCCTCTGGAGACTGAAAAGGGCAAGACACAGTACACCAAATACGCCACCTGCTCACCTGCCCTCGACACCTGTCCTAATAACATCTGTGACGAATTAGAGTATACATTTACTGGCATCTGTCCCCAGGATTGTATGTGTAAGTGTTGGGGATACATACATATATACATACATACATACATACACACACACACACACACACACACACACACACACACACACCTGCATATATGTACAGGGGTGGGGTCCTGCGGGGCTCTCTGTCTCTCTCACACACACACACACACACACACACACACACCTGCATATATGTACAGGGTGTCTCATAGGTCTCTCTCTCTCTCTCTCTCACTAACCCTCTCTCTCTCCTGCCCTCAGACGGTAAGAAGAAAACAAATAACCACATGACCATTGGACCACGCGGCCGGGGTATACAGGCGGGGTTGGGAGTCTGTACCTGTGATGACTACGCTTGTCAGTGTTTCCCAGACTACCAGACACGTCCCTCGCCCTCACCTGGTGTAGAGCCGCCCCTCAAGGAACCTGCACCTGGTATGTTCAAATGTGTTCACCTCTGTTCATTTATTTTCATCTGTGTTCACTTATTTTCACTTGTGTTCACTTTTGTTCATCTGTATTTAACTTGTGTTGTAGTGAAATTGTGATAGTAAAGTGGGCGTGTATAATGACCCACTAACCATTATCTCCCCCATAGCATCATCGTGGGCGTGTGGTTGTGGGTATAGGCGTGGATATGGGCGTATATAATCACCCACTAACCCTCATCTCCCCCATAACATCATCGTGGGCGTGTGGTTGTGGGTATAGGCGTGGGTATGGGCGTGTATAATCACCCACTAACCCTTATCTCCCCCCACAGCATCGTCGTTGGCGTGTGGTCGTGGGTGTAAGGTGGGCATCAGTGTGGCTGCTGTGGTCTTCCTGGGATTTACCTTACTTAGTGTTGTCTTCTGCAGGTACGTAAGTGATTGGTGCAATGATTTGGTGATTGGTACAGTGATTAGTACACCCAATCAACACCCTCTTACACCCACCCAACACCCTCTTACACCCACAGAAGACATGCCAGCGGTAACGGAAAGCAGAAAGGTGGTGTTATCTCCCTAGGGACACTGGCTAATGAAGAGAGATCCTCCTCTGTCCCTTATAATACTAGGGACGAGACCCATGATTCCCTTATCCACGGTATAAGGGCCTCACCTCGCCCTGATCACAACCTGGTACCTGCCCTTAATCTAACAGTGAGTATTGTGGTTTTTAATGGTCTCTAAAGGGGTTTTTAAGTGGTTTTTAATGGTCTCTAAAGGGGTTTCTAAGTAGTTTTTAATGGTCTCTAAAGGGGTTTCTAAGTGGTTTTTAATGGTCTCTAAAGGGGTTTCTAAGTGGTTTTTAATGGTCTCTAAAGGGGTTTCTAAGTGGTTTTTTAAGGTCTCTAAAGGGGTTTCTAAGTGGTTTTCTAAGTAATGCTCTCTAAAAGTCCATAAGTAATGTGTTTGTGAGTATTGGTATTTATAAGTTCTCTAAGTAATGTGGTTTCTAGTTCAATAATAGTATAATTATTAAGGTTTCTAGATCAAATTATGGATAGAAAAATAGACAACTAGACAGAAAGACAGACAGACAGACAGACAAACCATTAATAGTTAAGCCCAAGACAGATAACTAGACAAACAGACAGACAACAGGAGACAGAAAAACTGACAGACAGACACACAGTTCAAATTGCCACATTATAACAACCCATTAATAGTTACTCCCAGACAGACAGACAGACAACTAGACAGATAAATAGACAGACAGACAGACAACTAGACAGATAAATAGACAGACAGACAGACCGATGGTAAATTAAATTGCCCTATTAAAACAAACCATTCACAGTTATGTTCACAGATCGATCGTAAATGGGAGTTCCCCCGAAGTCGCCTAGTGATAGAACAGACCCTGGGTGAGGGAGAGTTTGGCAAGGTGATGAAAGCAAGAGCACAGGGAATAGGTGGTAATTTAGGTGAGTTATGTGTTTCTGAGTATGTGTTATGTGTGTCTGAGTATGTGTTATGTGTTTCTGAGTATGTGTTATGTGTCTGAGTATGTGTTATGTGTGTCTGAGTATGTGTTATGTGTGTCTGAGTATGTGTTATGTGTGTCTGAGTATGTGTTATGTGTCTGAGTATGTGTTATGTGTGTCTGAGTATGTGTTATGTGTGTCTGAGTATGTGTTATGTGTTTCTGAGTATGTGTTATGTGTGTCTGAGTATGTGTTATGTGTGTCTGAGTATGTGCTATGTGTGTCTGAGTATGTGTTATGTGTGTCTGAGTATGTGTTATGTGTGTCTGAGTATGTGTTATGTGTGTCTGAGTATGTGTTATGTATGTCTGAGTATGTGTTATGTGTTTCTGAGTATGTGTTATGTGTCTGAGTATGTGTTATGTGTGTCTGAGTATGTGTTATGTGTGTCTGAGTATGTGTTATGTGTGTCTGAGTATGTGTTATGTGTTTCTGAGTATGTGTTATGTGTTTCTGAGTATGTGTTATGTGTGTCTGAGTATGTGTTATGTGTGTCTGAGTATGTGTTATGTGTCTGAGTATGTGTTATGTGTGTCTGAGTATGTGTTATGTGTGTCTGAGTATGTGTTATGTGTTTCTGAGTATGTGTTATGTGTTTCTGAGTATGTGTTATGAACTTGTGTCTCCAAGAATATGTTACGTATCTCCAAGAATGCATTACGTATCTCCAAGAATGTGTTACGTATCTTTAAGAATATGTGTCGTCAGTATGTGTCTCAGTAATGTAATCTTGTGAGTAATATTTGAGTTATCCCGAGAATCAATAATGTATATGGTATGGTTTTCTTTGATGTTATTTTAATGGGTGACTAAAGAAAAGTGGTTTGTTTACGCGTTTATGTTAATTGGATCACTTTCACACCCAAACTACACCTATTCTACACCCCAATATAACATTATACACCCCAATATTACCTTCTACACCCCAATATACCCTTCTACAGCCCTACTACACCCTCCTACATCTTTTTACACCCATCAACACCCATTCTTCACCATCTACACTCATCTTACACCTTCCTACACCCCTCCTACATCCCACTTACACCCTCCTACACCCAGAAAGTAACACCCTCTCTTCATCCGCAGGTTATACAACAGTGGCAGTAAAGATGCTTAAATCCAACAGTACACAAGTAGAACTGTCAGACCTACTGTCAGAATACACCCTGTTGAAGGAAGTGTCACATCCTAACGTAGTCAGACTTCTGGGCGCCTGTACCGGTAAAGGGGGTCCAGTTTATATCATCATTGAGTACTGCCAGTATGGGTCTCTCAGGTAAGTGCCAGGGAAGTGTCAAGCATTGTAGGGAAGTGTTAAGTATTGTAGGGAAGTGTCAAGCGTTGTAGGGAAGTGTTAAGTATTGTAGGGAAGTGTTAAGTATTGTAGGGAAGTGTCAAGCGTTGTAGGGAAGTGTTAAGTATTGTAGGGAAGTGTCAAGAAATATTGTAGGGAAGTATCCAAGCATTGTAGGGAAGTGTTAAGCATTGTGAGAGTGTCAAGCATTATGCGGAAGTGTTAAGCATTGTGGGAAGTGTTGTTAAATATTATTGAGAGTGTCAAGCATTGTAGGAAGTATCAAGCATTGTAGGAAGTGTTAAGTATTGGCAAGGGAAGTGTCAAGCATTGTAAGGAAGTGTTGTTAAGCATTGTAAAGGGAAGTCATTAGAAAATGTGTAAAGGTGTCCAAACATTGTAGGAAAGTGTTAAGTGTTATTGAGGAAGTGTTAAGTATTGTGAAGTGTCAAGCATTGGCAAGAGAGGAGTCATTAAGTATTGTAGGAAGTGTTATTAAGTATTGTAGGAAGTGTCAAGCATTGTAGGAAAGTGTTAAGTATTGGCAGGAAGTGTTAAGTATTGTAGGAAAGTGTTAAATATTGTAGGAAGTGTTAAGGAAATAATATTGTGAGGGAAGTGTTAAGAAGTATTAGCAGGGAGGTGTCAAGCATTGTAGGAAAGTGTTAAGTATTGTAAGGAAATTGTTAAGTATTGAGGGAAGTGTCAAGCATTGTAGGAAGAAGTGTTGTTAAGTATTGTAGGGAAGTGTTAAGTATTGTAAGAGTGTCAAGCATTGTAGGAAAAGTGGTAAATATTGTGAGAAGTATTTAAGTATTGTAGGGAAGTGTCAAACATTGGCAAGGAGAGGAGTGTTAAGTATTGTACTTGAGGGAGGTGTCAAGCATTGGCAAGAAAGTGTTAAGTATTGTAGGGAAATTGATACAAGTATTGTAGGAAGTGTCAAGCATTGTAGGAAAGTGTTAAAGTATTGTAGGGAATGTTAAGTATTGTAGGGAAGTGTTAAGTATTGGCAAGGGAAGTGTCAAGCATTGTGGGAAAAGTGTTAAGTATTGTGAGGAAGTGTTAAGTATTGTGGGGAAGTGTCAAGCATTGTAGGAAAGTGTTGTCAAGCATTGTAGGGAAGTGTTAAGTATTGTAGGGAAGTGTCAAGCGTTGTAGGGAAGTGTTAAGTATTGTAGGGAAGTGTTAAGTATTGTAGGGAAGTGTCAAGCGTTGTAGGGAAGTGTTAAGTATTGTAGGGAAGTGTCAAGGGTGAGTGAAGCATTGCAGGAAAGTGTCAAACATTATACAACCACCCCTCCCCCACACCCCCTACAACCACTAACACACCTCCTCCCCCTTCAGGAACTACCTCAAGCGGTCTCGTCATGCAGAGTTTGAGAATCGTGTTGGCTCAGGACCTACGGAAATCGCTGCAGGAGACTACGCTATAACCCCCAAGGATCTCCTGTCCTTCGCCTGGCAGATCTGTAAGGGAATGGCCTACCTTACTGATATGAAGGTAAGAATGTGAAGGGGGGAGAAGGGTAGAGTAAGGGAGGGAAGGGGTGTGAGAATGAGGGACGTATTAGAGTGAGAGGGAGGAAAGATTAACGCTAGAATGTGGGATGGAGGGAGAGGGCAGGAGGGAGTGTGGGGGGTGGGAGGGGCATGGAAGGAAGTGTGAATGAGGGAGGGTAGAGGTGAGGGAGAGGGAGGAAGGAGTGCTAGAGAAATGGGATATGGAGGGAGAGGGCAGGAGGGAGTGTGGGGGGGGTGGGGAGGGGAGCATGGAAGGAAGTGTGAGAATGAGGGAGGTAGAGTGAGGAAGAAGAGGAGAGTGACAGTGTGAGAGAGAGAAGGAGAGAGAAAGCTGGAAAGACCGAAAGAAACAGCTGATTTACACACTTCTTTCCTACCTCTACAGCTGGTGTATAAAGCCTTATATCCTCTCTAAACAGCTGGTTCATATACACCCATCTGTCCACAGCTGGTACACCGGGATCTGGCAGCGAGGAATGTGTTGCTAGCGGCCGGGAAGGTGTGCAAAATATCTGACTTCGGGTTGACGAGGGATGTGTATGAAGGTGATCTGTACTTCAAGAGGAGCAAGGGAAGAGGTGAGTGTGTGTGTGTGTGTGTGTGTGTGTGTGTGTGTGTGTGTGTGTGTGTGTGTGTAATAATAATGTAATAATTAACGGTTTATTGAAAGTTCTGCAGCCCGAAGGCTGAAAATATACTGATATAAATGACTTATTACATACATTGGTGGTTTAAAAAGCCTTATTAGAGACAGTGAACATACAGATTAATGTAAGGTGTTGAACAGCAAACACGTAGTGTAGTAACTCCCTCCCAGATGGTGTTAGAGGACCTGACGTGGTGTAGTAGTTCCCCGCAGATGGTGTTATGAGGGACCACGTGGTGTAGTAATTCCCTCACAGATGGTGTTATGACCTACGTGGTGTAGTAATTCCTCACAGATGGTGTTATGAGGGCCTCACGTGGTGTAGTAATTCCCTCACAGATGGTGTTATGAGGGCCTGACGTGGTGTAGTAATTCCCTCACAGATGGTGTTATGAGGGGACCTCACGTGGTGTAGTAATTCCCTCACAGATGGTGTTATGAGGGGCCTCACGTGGTGTAGTAATTCCCTCACAGATGGTGTTATGAGGGGCCTCACGTGGTGTAGTAATTCCCTCACAGATGGTGTTATGAGGGGCCTCACGTGGTGTAGTAGTTCCCTCACAGACGGTGTTCTATGAGTGAGGTGTGGTCCCAGGCCTTCCTATCGTAGACGGATTAACACATCGCTGGTTGTTGGGTCGGGGCCGTTATCACTGGGTACCTGGGACCTCACTGTGTGAAGGTCAACTTGGGTACCACTGTTACTGTTGAGTTGTTCTCACTGACTTAAGCACTGTTCACCACTGTTCACCTCTGTTTAACACTGGTTCCATTCCTTTCCTAAATGAAATAGTAACTTCTGGCGTGAACTTGTTGATATTGCGGTGGGGAGGAGGGTTCAGGGGAGGGAGTTGGTATGGGCCAACATAACAGTTGACCTGGCTGCTCCGAGAGGAGCGCCAGGTACGTCTTGACCCTTCGGTGGTGTGTGTGTGTGTGTGTGTGTGTGTGTGTGTGTGTGTGTGTGTGTGTGAGTGTGTGTGTGTGTGTGTGTGTGTGTGTGTGTGTGTGTGTGTGTGTGTGTGCGACAAAAAGACAGAAAGATAAACAGAGAAAAATAAAACACAAAACCATACCCTTACCTTAATCCACCTAATCCACCTAATCCACCTAATCCACCTCTCCTATCCACAGTACCGGTCAAGTGGATGGCGCTAGAAAGCTTGGTGGATCATGTTTACACCAGCAAGAGCGATGTTTGGGGCTTTGGGGTGTTACTCTGGGAACTGGTCACCTTAGGCACCCCACCCTACCCAGGAGTCACCCCAGAGAGGCTCTTTTCCCTCCTGAAGGCTGGTTACCGCATGGAGAAACCCGACAACTGCTCCCAGGAATTGTGAGTGTTTATTCGTCTCTGATTCTGTTTACGGTGTAATTTGTGTACATGTTTTGTTTAAGTTTTATATTCGTAGTTAAAATACTCTCCCCTACACCCCTCCATACACCCCAACTAACACCCTCTCCCCTACACCCCTCCATACACCCCTACTGACACCCTCTCCCCTACACCCCTCCATACACCCCTACTGACACCCTCTCCCCTACACCCCTCCATACACCCCTACCCTCTCCCCTACACCCCTACACACCCCAACTAACACACCCCAACTAACACACCCCAACTAACACCTAACTAACACACCCCAACTAACACACCCCAACTAACACACCCTCTCACCACCACAGATATGATGTAATGCTACAGTGCTGGGCTGAGGACCCCGCAAGACGCCCGTGCTTCCAGGAACTCACAGATATCTTCGATGCCATGATCCAAGCTGACGTGGAGTACCTGGAGTTACGGTCACTCATCGTCACTAACCGCGGGTACTTCGACGGCGTGCCAGAACCCTCACAGCAGTTCCTGGAGGCGCCGCCGCAGTTTCAGGACTCCCCCCAACCTCCTGTAGGACCAATAAATGAGGAACGGGAAGCATCAACTCAGGGCAGTACTCACCAAGGGGCGCCGCCACAGTTGAATATAGATGAGACGCAGCTGCCTATACAACAAGGTGTGTGTGTGTGTGTGTGTGTGTGTGTGTGTGTGTGTGTGTGTGTGTGTGTGTGTGTGTGTGTGTGTGTGTGTGTATGTGTGTGTGTGTGTGTGTGTGTGTGTTATGTTTAAATAAAGCGTTTGTTGAGGGAATTATATTGAATTGGATCCATGTGAATTTCCTCTATTTCCGCCTTACCTCAAAACAGTCGCTCTCTCTCTCTCTCTCACATACACACACACTCTCTCTCTCTCTCACATACACGCTCTCCCTCCCTCACTCTCTCTCACTCACCCTCCCTCTCTCTCACCTTCTCTCTCTCTCTCTCTCTCACTAGACTGGTCACCGCCGGGTTCGGAACAACTCGACTCCGATTCCTACCTTGTGGCCAGAACGGATCTCGGAGCACCGCGTCGAGCGGAGTCCACCGAACCTCTCCTGGCGCCCACCTCCCCGCCTGTCACAGCCGCCCATACGCCCACCATCACCACCTCCCACGCCCACAATCCCGCCTATTCTCCTACCAGTGAAATACCTCATCCAACTCCTCTTCATTATTCCACCCTGGCCAGTCGACCTGATGAAGAAGACGCCCACAATTTGGTAGGTGTATGGCAACTTTGTGTTTGGAGGACAGTATGGCAACTTTGAGATATATGGCAATTTGTATATTTGTAGTAATTAGTATAGAATTTAGGGTAATATTTAGTTACGTAAATTTCTTGAGGTTATGGCAATTTGTAGGGGAATTGAAGTAAAATCTCTGTAGGTATGGCAGTAGAATTTGACTTAGTATAAATTAAACTTAAAATTATTAATGTTATTCCTTATGACAACTAATAGTAAATAATGTATGGCAACAGTTGATAGTTGATTATGGCAACTTTTCAGTAGAAGTCAAGTAATGTTATTGTAATATTAGGTAGTTCGCACTAATCCATATGGCAACTAATAATAGTGTACAGTATGGTAACTTTTGGTAAGTGGCTTTATGGCAACTTTTGGTAGATGGTTTTATGGCAATTAAGTAAAATTAGACTGATAATAATGTAATAATAGAGTACAGTACAGAGTAACCCTTATGGCAACTTGTGATAGATTTTTATGACAACTTAGTAGAATTAAACTAATATTAATGTAATACTAACCCTTATGAAAACTACTGACAGAGAGTGTATGGCAACTTATGATAGGTTGTTTATGGCAACTTATGGTAGGTTGTTTATGGCAACTCTCACGTATGTCAGGAGTGTTGCCGTAGCGAGGAGGACTCTGACAGTGGGCGAGCTACGGGGGATTCTGGATACGCCACAGAGGAGGGTCGTGGTCGATGGAGGGCTGAGCACAAGGGGGGAAGCAGACCCCCCCAGGCCTCCCCCAGGGGGTCGTCGTACTCCCCCGTCCCTCACCACGACCAGGATGACGACGATGACCAGGACCCTGAAGGAGACCACGACGATGACCAAGACACCTCGGAGGACCTGGAGGAGAGGCAGGAACTCCTGACTGAAGACTTGCTAGGTCACCTCACCCCCAGCCCGGAGCCAGCGCAAACCGCCCATACCACCGCCCACACGCACAATGCCGCCCATGCCACCACCCACACCACGCCCGTGATTGTGTGAGGGTCTCAAAAGATTTGCACGTTATCTAATCAATCTCATCACGCGTCGCGTCTATGACTCATCACCCCCCTTGTATAGCTCTTCCCGCCGTCTGCTGCGTTGTAGAGGAGAGAGGCTGACGGAAGGCCCTCTGAGGCTGACGGAGGCCCTCTGAGGCTGACGGAGGCCCTCTGAGGCCTGGCGGAGGCCCTCTGAGGCTGACGGAGTCTCTCAGGTCCCTCAATGGGCTGACTAAGTCCTCAGGGGGCTGATTGAGTCCGTCAAGTCCCTCAAGGGGCTAACAGAGTCCTCCATGGTCCCTCGAGGGCTTAACAGAGACACGCATATTCCTTCAAGGGGCTAACTGTCCCTCATAGTCTCTCAAGGACTTAACAAAGTCCCTCTTGAGTTCCTCAAGGGGCTTAACAGAGACGCTCATAGACCCTCAAGGGGGCTAAATAAGTCCCTCTCTATTTTCTAGGTTTTTCCCCTGTGACTTGTAGAGCGAGTGTGAGAACTAACAGTGTTCCTTGTATGTCAATACCTTCGAGTGTGACTCTGTGAAGGTCAACCTCAATATATTATATAAAACCACACAAAATACCAACCAAACCCACTTCCCTTATTTTTTCAAAGGTGAAGTCATACTCTTTAACAAACCCCAAAACAAACACTCTAATCTAAATGCTTTATATGTAAGGAACTCACATATGGAGAAGAAATAAAAATCCTTACGAATCCTCAAAAAAATATCTAAAAATCATGTGCTTTTATCGTCAAAAATGTGAACGAAACAGAAAATCAAGTTTGCCCTCAGTATGTCCAGAAAGAGGGTAGTGATCTTAATATAAATAGCTACAACCTTTTATATAACTGATATTTAGTGAATGTTCCTTCATTTTATTCTCCTTGATTTTAATTCTCGGAAAAAAAATCTTTATCTTGGGATGAAATAATAGGTTCATATGTGGCTCGTATGGTTCGTATTATAAGCGAACCAGATATTGTATGGTTCGCATTATAAGCGAACCAGATATTGTATGGTTCGTATTATAAGTGAACCAGATATTGTATGGTTCATCTTATAAGTGAACCAGATATTGTATGGTTCATCTTATAAGTGAACCAGATATTGTATGGTTCATCTTATAAGTGAACCAGATATTGTATGGTTCATCTTATAAGTGAACCAGATATTGTATGGTTCATCTTATAAGTGAACCAGATATTGTATGGTTCATCTTATAAGTGAACCAGATATTGTATGGTTCATCTTATAAGTGAACCAGATATTGTATGGTTCACAACACAAATGAACCTTACAAAACTAATATTAAAACCGTTTCATGCTTCCCAAACTCATTCTTAAAATATAGTCAAAAATTCTCCTCACTAATTAATGCTAAGGAGAAAGATTATATTTTATTCTCAAGTCTCTGGGTATTTTTGACGCCATGTTGGAAGTTACGAGTTGGGAGATTTTTTTTTTTTTTTTCAGAATCAGTTACTTAGATTCTTGTGGTAATTTCTCTTAAGTCGGAATTCAGTGCCGACTTATGGGTGATTTTTTGTGTGTTTATGGGATTCAAGATGGCGGCAGATTCACATAGAGACTTGAGTGTAATTGTTATTTTTGTTTTTGTTTTTCTCTTAATGTTTTCTCTCACGCTAAATGCTACTGTGTTTGTCTCCAACCAATCTCTTTCCCCTCTCCTCCCTCTCCAACCAACCCCCCTCCTCTCTCCTCTCCAACCAATCCCTCTCCTCCCTCCTCCTCTCCAACCAACCCCCCTCCTCCCTCTCCAACCAACCCTCTCCTCCCTCTCCTACCCTCACTACCACCCCCCAACCTCCAACCCTCCCTCCCTAACCCCATTCCCCCATCTCCACCACCACCACCACCCCTACAACACCAACCACTACCACCCCCCCTACACCCCCCTACACCACTCAGTACCTGTTAACAGTCAAAGCAACTGATCAAACCAACACTTACTGGTAAACAAACAAACAAATGATCATTAACTAGCCAGACTGTGTCCTCAACAGCCTAACAACCTGCAGTTATAGTTGTAATTGGTTGTTAGTTGTTAAATGGGTTATACCACCACAATCACAACCATTTTTTTTTTTTAGTCTTTATCGAAATATCTAAAAAAATTAATCAAACTCGAATGTAAATATAAAGCAAAAACTATGAATGAAGGACAATTTCAAGTTTTTTTTTCTTCAACAATAATAAAATTTACTCAAAAATTAATGAACTTTAATGTGAATGTAAATTTTGGGGGAAAAATTGTATTGTTGGAAATAAACTTGAAAAAATCCTTCCATTATTTCCCCTTAATATAAATGTGAATATAATTTTAACCTTGGGTACTTTTTGACCCATGTTAAATTAAATTTCTTTAATATAACAAAAACTAATGTTAATTTCATTTGATTTCTGTTAATATGAATTTTTATAATATTTAAAATTGAGAAGAAAAAATGGGGGTGCGGTTGTGACGTCATGAGTGAGTTACCAGGTGTGACGTCATAAGTGAGTAACCAATCAGTGTACAGTAGTTGTTGAGGACGCCATCTTGTAGTCAGGTTAATGAGGCTAAGGTTATTTTTGGTATAGCTGAAGGAGCTTAATAGTGTGTGGCCTTTTAGCTTATAGTCGAGTCTTAGCTGTTGCTCGAGTCTTAGCTGTTGCTCGAGTCTTAGCTGTTACTCGAGTCTTAGCTGTTGCTCGAGTCTTAGCTGTTACGTGAGTCTTAGCTGTTACTTGAGTCTTAGCTGTTACTCGAGTCTTAGCTGTTACTCGAGTCTTAGCTGTTACTCGAGTCTTAGCTGTTGCTCGAGTCTTAACTGTTGCTCGAGTCTTAGCTGTTGCTCGAGTCTTAGCTGTTACTCGAGTTTTAGCTGTTACTCGAGTCTTAGCTGTCACTCGAGTTTTAGATGATTCATGTATTACCTAATACTTGGGTGTTCGTTGATACCCAAGTGTCAGCTAACACTCAAAAACCAGCTAACACTCAGCTATAAACCAAAGTGTTGCCATACACACGTTACATAATTATTCTCGTCATAAATAATTTAATAATTTTTTGCTCAATTATTCTCTTAGTAACGTTAAATGGTTACTTAAATAAGTTACTTAAGTTAGTTACTTATACCGAGTGTTAATGTTAGATTGTGTTAACTACTTTATAGAGCAACTTGATGGGAAGCTCTTGTTGTAAGAGTAACATACAGTCATATATACATACATAGGCTCATTCATACATACATGATCAAACTTACAGACATACATACATACATCACTATACACGAGGTACACACATACACATTTTTTCTGAATTTAAGAACATAATAAAAACATTGTCTAAATAGATCACATTAGCGAAATATATTTATTTTTTTACTATAGGAAATAATATATTGGAAAAAAATATATATAGATATACTTCTCTGCGTTATATTAATCTCTATTTATAAGTAAAATACGTGTATAAAATAAATCCGCTTGTGTAAAATGATAGTTATATATATATGTGTTTTATATTGTTTAATATGCCGGATTCTGTCAGTACCAGCAATTACTGAGGTAGCTGGCAACAATCTTATGTGGGGAGTTGCCAGTTAATGTTTTTATTTTAAGATGGCAACTTTCTCTCGTGGGGAGTTACCAGTTAATGTTTTTTATTTAAGATGGCAACTTTTTCTCGTGGGGAGTTGCCAGTTATTGTTTTTATTTTTTAAGATGGCAACTTTTTCTCGTGGGGAGTTGCCAGTTATTGTTTTTATTTTTTAAGATGGCAACTTTTTCTCGTGGGAAGTTGCCAGTTATTGTTTTTATTTTTTAAGATGGCAACTTTTTCTCGTGGGGAGTTGCCAGTTATTGTTTTTTTAAGATGGCAACTTTTTCTCGTGGGGAGTTGCCAGTTAATGTTTTTATTTAAGATGGCAACTTTCTCTCGTGGGGAGTTACCAGTTAATGTTTTTTATTTAAGATGGCAACTTTCTCTCGTGGGGAGTTGCCAGTTAATGTTTTATTTAAGATGGTCTCTCTCATTTTTATTTAAATGAGGCCAGGATTGCTTTCTCTCGTGGGGAGTTGCCAGTTATCATTTATTTAAGATATGGGAGTTGCCAGTTTTTTTTAAGATGGCAACTTTCTCTCGTGGGGAGTTGCCAGTTATTGTTTTTATTTAAGATGGCAACTTTCTCTCGTGGGGAGTTGCCAGTTATTGTTTTTATTTAAGATGGCAACTTTCTCTCGTGGGGAGTTGCCAGTTATTGTTTTTATTTTTTAAGATGGCAACTTTTTCTCGTGGGGAGTTGCCAGTTATTGTTTTTTTAAGATGGCAACTTTCTCGTGGGGAGTTACCAGTTAATGTTTTTATTCTGGGTATCATCAGTTTCACAGACGCGTGAGTGGCCAGCTGCGTCTGTACGTCAGTCTGTGTGACTCGGACAGACAAAAATATTAATTAATCTGTTGTTGGTACTGTCATCTCTGAGTCATTAGTGTTTATATTGCTGGTACAGACAAGCGATTAAGTCTGTGCTGTTAGTAGCGTGTGTATGTGTGTGTGTGTGTGTGTGTGTGTGTGTGTGTGTGTGTTAGTACAGACAAGCAATTAGTCTGTGTTTCAAGTACCTTCACAGACACGGCTAATAGAAGCTTGTCAGTGATGGCGACGCCCTTAGTCTGTGTTCTCAAAGTACAGAAGTAACATTAAATTAGTCTGTGTTGCTGGTACAGACACATAATTAGGTCTATCGCGTCTGTACTCCCGAGCTAATTAGTCTGTGGTCATCAGTACAGACAGCTAATTAGTCTCCATTGTCTGTACTGCCGAGCTAATTAGTCTGTGGTCGTCAGTACAGACAGCTAATTAGTCTCCATTGTCTGTACTGCCGAGCTAATTAGTCTGTGGTCATCAGTACAGACAGCTAATTAGTCTCCATTGTCTGTACTGCCGAGCTAATTAGTCTGTGGTCATTAGTACAGACAGCTAATTAGTCTCCATTGTCTGTACTGCCGAGCTAATTAGTCTGTGGTCATCAGTACAGACAGCTAATTAGTCTCCATTGCCTGTACTGCCGAGCTAATTAGTCTGTGGTCATCAGTACAGACAGCTAATTAGTCTTTGGTCATTAGTACAGACAACTAGTTAGTCTCCATTGTCTGTACTCCCAAGCTAATTAGTCTGTGGTCATTAGTACAGACAACTAATTAGTCTCCATTGTCTGTACTCCCAAGCTAATTAGTCTATGGTCATTAGTACAGACAGCCAATTAGTGTGTATTTACCTTAACTAGTCGATGTGTCCTGTACAGCCAGTCTCCACTAAGCTGCTGGTTCAGTCAAACGGCTCACACTGTTATAGTCTGTGCTACATATTGTCGACTTTCTCTCCGCCATGTTAGTTTCACCTTTGATTAGTGTTACTTTGACTCACCTGAGGATTAAACACCCCGAGGTTAATTTCACCTGGTGATTGATTATCCTGGTGTTAACCTAACCGTACCTTATCTGGCCTAACCTAACCTTACCTAACCTTACCTAAACTAATTTATCCTAACCTAAATCCACCTAACTTAACCTAATCACCCAGGTAGTATTAGGGAGTTAAATCATCAGGTGAAATAAACTAGGGGGGTTAATCTTCAGGTGATCCATAAATTTTAACATTAATTCATTAGTCAAGAGTTAATAAAGGAGTCTTAATTAACAGCTAAAGTTAACCTCAAGGATTAAGATGTATGTTAACTGTTAAAAACTCCTCTGGGTACTTAAAATTTTTTGCTCAGATAATTAACTTAATATATTATTGTTCCTTGTACAGGTAACTTAACATATTATTGTTCCTTGTACAGGTAACTTAACATATTATTGTTCCTTGTACAGGTAACTTAATATATTATTGTTCCTTGTACAGGTAACTTAATATGTTAATGTTCCTTGTACAGGTAACTTAACATATTATTGTTCCTTGTACAGGTAACTTAATATATTATTGTTCCTTGTACAGGTAACTTAATATGTTAATGTTCCTTGTACAGGTAACTTAACATATTATTGTTCCTTGTACAGGTAACTTAATATGTTAATGTTCCTTGTACAGGTAACTTAATATGTGAATGTTCCTTGTACAGGTAACTTAATATGTTAATATTCCTTGTACAGGTAACTTAATATGTTAATGTTCCTTGTACAGGTAACTTAACATATTATTGTTCCTTGTACAGGTAACTTAATATGTTAATGTTCCTTGTACAGGTAACTTAACATATTATTGTTCCTTGTACAGGTAACTTAACATATTATTGTTCCTTGTACAGGTAACTTAACATATTATTGTTCCTTGTACAGGTAACTTAATATGTTAATGTTCCTTGTACAGGTAACTTAATATGTTAATGTTCCTTGTACAGGTAACTTAATATGTTAATGTTCCTTGTACAGGTAACTTAATATATTATTGTTCCTTGTACAGGTAACTTAATATGTTAATGTTCCTTGTACAGGTAACTTAACATATTATTGTTCCTTGTACAGGTAACTTAATATGTTAATGTTCCTTGTACAGGTAACTTAATATGTTATTGTTCCTTGTACAGGTAACTTAACATATTATTGTTCCTTGTACAGGTAACTTAATATGTTAATGTCCTTGTACAGGTAACTA